GTGTCTTATGTGCTTACATTGTAAATCTATTCCTATGTTATAAAGGAATTAGATCTTTGTTTTGTTCTACCAAAAGTCTAAGTCAGTTAAGGTCAATTGATTTAGTGGGCAGCATTGTTGATGCTTAGTCAAAATTCTAAGTCATCTAGTGGTAGGTGGTTTAGTGGGCAACATGATTGTTGCTTAGTAAAAATTTTAAGTCATCTAGATGGGATAGTTTAGTGGGCAGCGTGTGTAACATCTCTCACCTAGAAACGACTATAAAGAGTTTAAAATATGAAAATATTGATTTTTGGAAAGAATAAGGAAATTTGGAAATTTTGTCTAAGTTAACAAAGTGAGTTTTGGCCATTTTCAAACTGCCATAACTCCTAGCTCAGGAGGATTTAGGAGCATATCTTGATATTTTTGGAAATCCCTTGGAGATATCTTTCCAACGCCGCCGAGATTGCACGATTTTGACATCGTATGAGTGAGATATGACTTTCGGAAGTTGGGCTGTTGGATTGAGGAAAGTCCCAATCCGGATTTAAGGAGGGGCAAAGTAGTCTTTTGTCTAATTAATTTCCTAATTTGATTTTAGGAATTAATTGGGGTAAAACAAGACTTTATTCAGTTTAAAATAAATTAGAATTTACGCTAGGGCTTGGAGAGGATAAGAAACAAGAGAAAAGAGGAGAGAAATCAAGAAATCGCCAAGAACTTTCAGGCTTTGCGAGTGGAATTCGTCGGGGGTGATCCCTATTAAGGTATGTGAGATTTCTTTCGTGTTGGGTAAGTTCACCCACACACTAACTTGTTTCAATTCAGCGAAATTGAAGTTGTTTGAATGTTAAGAAAGTGAAGTTCTTGAAGAACATTGTTGAATTCTTGTGGGTTGATTGTTGAATGCCTAGTGTTGAATTGATTCATGTTTCCGGGTTGTTTTGCAAGTTATATTGGTTGTATATTGAGGGTACAATTGATCCTAGGGGTTTGGGGAAAGTATCATGGAAGTTTGGAGGGTTTAAAGATGAAAAACGGAGGAGAAAAGTCGAGAACACCTGGGTACAGGGGTTGGGGCGTCGCGCCTCTCAGCGCGCCCCAAAATGTTCTCTGAGGTTTGGCCTCTGGCGCGTCGCCCCAGCCAGAGCGCCCCAACCAGCTCTCTGAGGTTTGGGCCCTGGCGCCCCACACCTCTCAGAGTGCCAGGGACGCCAGTTCTCCCCATTCATTCCCCACCTTCTCGTACTAAGTGATGTACCTATGTTTCCTAGTCGATTCTAACATTCTAAAATACATCTAAACATCATGAAATCATCCATAAACATGAGATCATGAACCTTGAATCCATAATCCAATTCGAAGAAAGTTAAGATCAAAGTCAAGAGAAGTAAGAGTCAAGTCAAGATGAGTCCTTAGAGTTTTCCAAAAGTATTTTCTAAATGTTTTAACTTTGTTTTATGACTTAAAGTTCAAGTTGAGTAAAGAGTAAAGAGTAAAGTTTGAAGTTCATTTCTTCAAAAGTATATGGGGACTGAGTATTCCCAAAGAGATTTAAAATGTTTTCACATTTAAATAAGAATGGAAACTGAGATTATTAAAGAGCCTTCGGGCTAGTTTTCAGAAAAGAGTAATAGCTTTCTAAATGAAGCAAGCAGAGGAACTGAGATTTCCAAGATAGCCTTTGAGCTAAGTTTTTGAGCACTAATCTCAAATCACAGAAGAAGTATGTTTTAAAGACATAAGAGCTAGTATATTTTGGGAATAGTATTGAGCACCGACTTGAGGGAGCGTTTAAAGAACCCACAGCCCTCATAGAACCATATAGCCACCATGGGTAGAAACGGATCATACTTTTTAGATGAATCCTTTTTAAGATAGACTAGTGGATCCATTAGGCAGTTCAGATTTTGTACCTTTGGCGAGGTATAGAATGCTCTGGCAGCGTGAGGTTGATCGATGTATCATCATTATAGCTCTTATGTGATGGTTGTCGGTTAGAGAAACAAACTCCCACAACAGTTATTGTATTTTTATATACATCAGTTCATTTGTATTTTTACATACATCTCAGATTTATTGTATCATTGCATACACACAGAGTTTATAACATGTTTTAAGCAGCTTTTCTTTATATTGCACTTGCTTTATATTGAAATGAGTTAGTTAGGTTGAGTTGAGTGAGCCAGGTAAGTTATTCAGTTTCTTTCAGATTCCTTCTAGCCTATGTGTGGTTTAGCATTCCAACTCGCATACTCGTACATTCAATGTACTGATGCCAATTGGCTTGCATCTTATTATGATGCAGACGCAGGTAACCAGGATCAACATCCAGTACCTCGTTGATCCAGTTGAGCAGCTCAAAGTCAGTGGTGAGCCTCCTTGCATTTCGGAGGACTCTTTTATTCGCTTTCTGTCTTTCATTTATTAGGATGTTGTGGGGTTTGTCCCAACATCCATCTCAGTATTTTAGAGGCTTCATAGACAGTCAGATAGTTATTAGTTCAGATGTCTTTCTTTATCTTTCAAATGTTGTTTAAGACTTAAGTGCCATTTTGGCCAACTTATTATTCTTTAAGTTATTATTTGAGACTGTTTCATTGAGTTAAGTCTTCCGCTGAGTTACGTAAGTCAGGCCAAGGGTTTGTTTGGGGCCAGAAATGGTCTCCGAGTGCCAGTCCCGCCCAGGGTGTAGGCTCGGGGCGTGACAGCGTGGTTATTGCTTAGTCAAATTCTAAGTTATCTAGAGGTAGGTAGCTTAGTGGGCAATAGTGTTATTGCTTAATTACTCTCTTTGTAGTAAGAGTTGCTACATTGAGGGGGAAGGGATTTAGAGGTAAAATCCTAGGTTGCAAGCAGTTATAATCTGAATCGTTGCTCCGTTTGAGTGAAATGGAGTTTGGGTTGAAAATCTTGTGAGGACAGGTCGTTGTTTTCACCTCCCTTGAGCAAGAGGGTTTCCACGTAAAATCATTGTGCAGATTTTACTTTCAGCCATTTACTTTCTGCATCTATTTCAGTTACTATTCTTATAGTGTCAAAGGACCTGGTCCATTGACTGTTAGTGGAGCATACATTCTAACACAACAAGACTGTTATAACTGACCAGGAACTCCATCTTTATTTCCATTCCCACTGTTCAAGCTTCTCAACGTAATCGCTTCATTGGAATAGCCATAATGTTGAGTATATTCATTAAAATTTTGTGGTCTGTTGAAGATCGACTTTGAACTGTTTTGACCAACCCTGAAAAATATTATTAACAAGATGAGATGAGTTAGATTGAGCATTACTAATTAATATATTAATGATAATTTGGAGAGTAAAAGAGAGAAATTAGCATGTGCCTATCTGATGATCCTTGATTGTTTGGATCCATTTCTTTCCCAAAGGGTTGGTATCTTGAACTTGTCCTATTATTAGGTGACCTTCTTATAGGACCTCCATTGCTACTGCTAAACCAAAATGACAATAACAAAGTTTACTTACATCTAAGAATTGAAAGAGAAGTTAGAAAATATCCAAATGAAAACAAAATAATTAGCATATCATCAATAATATATATATATATATTGGGAAAGGGGGGAAAGGAAAATAAACCTTGTATTTTGTGGGAATTCATTATCCAAGGAACTCAAAACTCCATAGCCACCACTGCTAATCCCATTTTCTTGACCAACCATCAACTTAGACTTGATCAAATGACTTTCTAGTTTCTCCAGAGTTAGAATATGTGACATCGGACGTTGGAGGATCATGTCATTAGTCTTATTATTTTTTTGCTCTTTCCAAGAATCAATTGAAATAATTCTCAAAGGCTGATTAGTGGTGAAGTTTGATTTCAAGGACGACTCTCTTTCGAGTTTCTCCAAAATTGGGATTTTTGGTAGAAGTTGTTGAAGGATCATGTCATTTGTAGTTTCACCTTGTTTCTCCATAACAATAGGTATAGGTATTAAGGTTTTAGTATTTTCTTCATTTTTCAACCCCATGGAATATATGTACGATAATGAATAGTCATCATCGTCATCAAGAGTAATAGGATAAGTTATTCTCGAAGAATTCTTATCCATTGGTGAATGACTAGAGATGTTGGTGGTGTTCGTAGGAACAACATTAGGTAATTCTGAGGTGCTAGGAATAATGTTGGTGTTCAAATGCTGCTCTTTAGGCATATCAAATATTTTTGACAACTCTACTTCTTCACCAAAATCAAATTTATTGGCCCATGGTCTAGTAGAGGAATAAAGATAATCTTGATTATCACTATCCATGTAACTGTTTGGAGATTTATCCACGTTTATCAGTGTATATAAAAATATATAAAGTTTTCCATTGTTGTCTTACTTATATAATGAGACACTTGTCATTTTAATTTATGTACATTACATATTTGGATGAATTTTTTGTAGATATTATACACTAAAATAGGAAAAATAACTAATAATTACTTAGTAGGACTTGACTGGATATGACAAAACTCCAACAGACACTTCTCTCTATTTCAAAATTACGCCGAGTAACTTATTTTCTCAAATAATTGCGAATTCTAAATGATTTTCTGTAGATATTAAACACCAAAATAAGAAAATAACTAATAATCTCTTGGTAGGATTTGACTAGATATGACAAAAATCCAATCGATAAATCTCTGTATTTCAAAATTATGTCGAGTAACTTCTTTTCTTGAATTAATGATGATACTAAAATCTGAGTATTCTATTAAAATATTATTTGAAATTTATACAGATTTGGAAAAAATCTGAACACTATATTAAATTTATTATTTAAAATTTTATATAGATCATGATAGAAATATCGATCTATCAAAGAAAAATTATGTGCTCGAAAAAAATTGCGGCCTAAATGTGATTTTTCATGTCATGTGTATTGCTAAATTCATCTGATAATAACGTCATATTTAACTCAATTCTGTAATAAATGGTAGTCAACAAGAAATAACTGCTTTAATTTTTCACACTCAGTAAAACATATTACTATTCGGGAACCTTAGTAACTTAGTTGGCTGACTACCTGAACTTTCACCTTAATTTTTCACACTCAGTAAAACACAACAGTCTAATTCTACCTAGCGGAGACTATTGACAAACTGGAGTCTGATCTTTTCGAGTGTTGAAAGAGCATCTTCCATGCTAATTCTTGCATCAGGTGTCACTACAGTGCAACTCAAAGCTAATTTCATGATAGATGACAAACAATGCATCTTTGCATCGATTTGTTCATCCCCTGGCTGTATCAAATTAGAATCCACCACCTTATGAATACCACTCGGAAAAGAATCATTAATCCAACATCGTATATTCATTTCTCCGGTAAATATTTCATCACTTGGTCTCCTTCTTGTGAACGTCTCCATCATCACGATGCCAAAACTATAAACATCACAGCTTGTGGAAACTATTCCATCTTGTCCATATTCTGCAATCATGGTAAAAGATAATCACAAAAAAACTTCCTAGTTACCAATGAACATACTAATACTGAGTACCAATCTATAATTGTTTTGGGCATTCTAAGGATATGAGGAAGCTATAGAAGTTACAATACCTGGAGCAATATATCCAATGGTTGCTATTGTCCTTGTTTGAACAAAATCTTCCCCTGCACCTAACAATTTTGCAATGCCAAAATCGCTGACATGACCAACCATTTCGTGATCTAGCAAGACATTGCTTGGTTTCAAGTCACAATGCACCACAGGAGTTGAATAGCCATTGTGGAGATAGTCTATTGCAGATGCAACATCTATCATTATACTTAATCTCTGCAACATGTCTAAGAATAAGTTGTGATTGTATAGCCATTTTTCAAGTGTCCCATTCGGCATGTATTCTAATACCAAGGATTTGAAGTGAGGGTTGGAGCAGCTGGTGATCACTTTTGTAAGATTTCGATGGCGGAGGTTGCGCAACATCTCACATTCTGTATCAAAACTTTTGAATGCACCCTCCAATTGCACATTGAATACCTTTGCTGCCAAAAGAGTACCATCCTTAAGTATCCCTTTGAAAACCTTGCTGAAACTCCCACTACCAAGCAAGTTGCTTTCGTCGAATCCTTCTGTTGCTTGTTCAAGTTCATAGTAAGAAATTCTTTCATGTTTCCCTTTTACCGGAAAGACATCTGCTTGATCTGCATTCTTCTTTATCTTTCTCCATCTTAAAAATACATATGCGAGGGCTAATGCAAGAAATAGCATACCCACTCCCAAAAGGATGTACAAAACCAAGATTATCTTTTTTCTCTTTGATCTCTTGGGAGATTTGATGACGCATGGTGAAACATGAAACTTAGAATCACCACAGAGTGCATAATTGGACAAGAAAGATTGACCTGTCGCATTTGCAAAAGGACCACCTGTGGGAATCTCTCCACTGAGTTCATTAAATGAAAAGTTCAAGTATTTGAGATACACGAGAGCTTCTAATGACTTTGGAATTTCACCGGTTAGATTGTTATTGCTCAAATCCAAGAATTCCAAGGCCAGCATTTTGCCAAATGAATCTGGAATAGGCCCATATAATTTATTATGTGCTAGAGAAAGACTAAGCATTCTATCCAGACCCCCTAGTGTGCTAGGGATCTTACCATTAAATTCATTTTTTGACAGATCAACTAGTGTTGCAACCTTTAAATTTCCAATCTCAATAGGAACTTTCCCACTTAATAAATTTGAGGAAACATTGAATTCTATGAGATCTCGAAGGCTCCCCAAGCTTGAAGGTAAGGTCCAGTTCAGCCTGTTGTTAGCTAGATAAAGATACCTTAAACTGGTAACATTCCCTAAGCATGGCGGTATAGAACCAGAAAACTGATTTTGTGACAAATCTACTAATCCAAGATTCTTTAAATTGTAGATAGCATCAGGTATGGTTCCTACTAACTTGTTGCCACCTAAGTTAAGTTCTTGAAGGTTCGGCAAGCCTTGGATGGTATTTGGAATATGACCAGTGAACTCATTATTAACCAGATTCATTATTGCCACCATAGTAAGATTACCAATTTCTTCTGGAATGGTTCCCTTCATTTTACAATTCGATCCATCAAAAATTTGCAGCGAGTCAGAGAAATTCCCAACTGATGCAGGAAAAACCCCATCTAGTGGATTCCAACCAAATCTAATTACTCTTAGTTTCCTATAGTTTGTCAAAGACACAAGGAAGCTCAATGTCGAATCGCTGGAAAAATAATTTGCCGCCAAGTCCAGAAGCTCAAGGTATTCTAAGTTACCAAGTGATTCAGGAATTGGACCTGTGAAACTATTGATTCCGAGATCAAGTCCATTGAGTCTTGTAAAATTTGAGATAGAAGCAGGGATAAAACCACTCATATAATTATCTGCACAGTTAAATTTTTCTATGTTGGGCATCCCACGGCCTAATTCTGAAGGTAGAGTACCTGAAAGACTGTTTGCTTCAAGTGCTAAGTTCTGTAGTGCTGACATGTTGAAAATGCTTGCAGGGACTGAACCAGTAAACTCACTGTGGTATAATGACAGCACTTGTAGGTTCTTCAGATTACCTAGCTCCTCTGGTATCTCTCCTGTCAATGGAAAAAATGTAAGAGTAAATATAGTACTACCGTGTTGTGAACCATGGATTCGTAAGGGCCTATTACATAAAATTGGTGAAGGGGCCTGATTCAGTTGGGATTACTGGTGCCGAGTAAAATGTTGGAGAGTTTTATTTGGGATCCAGGCCCAATTAGCAGGCGTTAGAAAGAAGAGTTCTATGTTAATTATATTGAAGCTTTGGCTCCAATTAATATTGTTCACTATTAGTTTGTTGCTCCAATTCTTAGTTGTAATTTGGATTCAGTAAGTGTAATATACATTAATAATTGTGTTGAGAAATACAGGTTGTTACATACCTCCTAAGTGTTGTTCTCCAAGATACAATCCTGTAAGAGATGTTAAGTTGGCTAACTCTCTTGGTACAGTTCCACTGAACTCATTGATAGACAATTCCAGGATTTGAAGATTTCTGCATTTCTCCAAGGTTGGTGGAATAACGCCATCAAGGTAATTTCTTGAGAGGTAAAGCCCTACCAAGTTTGGAAGATGGTCACATATAGTCATTGGAAGCTCACCAGTTAGATTGTTGTTGGCCAGAGCAATGACTTGCATGGTTGTAATGTTAAATATTGATGGTGGTATAGAGCCAGTCAGCTGGTTGAGTCACAGATATAAGAAAGTCATGTAACGAAGATCACCGAGCTCTCGAGGGATCTCTCCAACTAGAAAATTTCCCTTTATGCCCAACACTTGCAGCTTTGTTATATTAGAAAGGGAAGATGGAACTTCCCCAAAAAACTGGTTGTCTGAAAGGAGAACTATTCGAAGGTTAGGTAACAAACTTAAAAATGATGGAATGACACCAGTGAAGTTATTGCTTGTGACATTAATCAGTTTCAACCTCTGCAAATGAGCCAACTCTTCTGGCAATTCTCCATAGGAAGTGTTGTCACTTATGTCGAGGGAGACGAGAAATGAGAGGTTTCCAAGGTGTGGAGGAATGGTACCGTGAAGTTGCATGCTATAAATGTCTAAAGTTTTGACTCGATGGTTGCGGGAGTTGCAAGTGATTCCAATCCACGTGCAAACAGGACTGGAAGAAGACCAGTTGGTTGCTAAGATGTTGTTAGGACTATAAGAAATGTGAGATTTGAAGGCAAGAAGAGCAGCTTCATCATTACTAATGTTTGGAACAGTAGACACATATGTATGGACATGAATTAGCAGAATGAAAACCGCAAGAGCGAAGAGAAGATCGCAACTTCTTCCCATAACTATAACTGACAGGTTTCTCTTTTTCCTAAAACAAGAATTGGTGTGGCAAGTCAATGATCTATATATATCTAATGATATCAAAATTCATTGGATAGCATTGTACACTAGTTAGTGTCTAGAGTGTTTTATGATTAAGACTTAAGAGTGTTAATTTTTAGTACTACAAGTTGACTTTGTGAGACTCGGTCAACAATCCACTCATACTATAACAAACGAGATATTTAAAGGCAATAGATTGTCCTTTTAGCGGAAATTGATTTAATGTCATTGCATCTAGGGTTAATATAGTGCTGGTTATACATATCATACTTATTATTGCCGCTAGATATAACATAACTGTTATTATATTATTATCGCCAAATCCTTTGTTTGTTGTAGTGTCACAGTATTTTCTTTTTGCTAGTTTCTGTCAGTTGCATCCCACCCACCCACTACCCAATGAATAATTGTCAAGATAATCCTTTAAGAGCCCAAAAATTCAATAAGTGTAGGCAGGAAGAAAATGTGGAAGTAAAACAAAGTCAAAATCGATTTTGACTTTGTTTTACTTCCACATTTTCTTCCTTCCTACACTTATTGAATTTTTGGGCTCTTAAAGGGAGTTCAGAGTCGAAAGGGTAAGAAAATTTGCCAAAAATTCCAAAAGAGCAACAAAATTGATTATTGAACCAAAAGGGCAACTTTCTAACTGTGAATTTGACACCGTTTAAATTAGGGTAGCCGCGCAATTCCATGAGCCTTGTAAGGCTCAGCCGCCATGTGCCTTGCGGCGGATTTTATTTATTTTTTTCATTCCAATTATTAAAAAAAAAATTTACTTCATTTTACTATCTTGTTAAAAAACATCCGCTATATTCTATGTTTAATACAAATTATATAAACATCTGCTAATAGAAGTAAATGCACAACTAATCCAGTAATTATTAATCCTCATATTACAATCTCTAAAAGTTAAGTTCCTTATAACAATCATTTTTTCTATGTCTACTTACTTGTTCTATCCAAAGAGAAATTTGATTTTTGCATCAGTAAACAAAACACCTCCAATATTGTCTTTGTTACATTCTTGTTTCATAAATATGAACGTAGTATTTTTTTCTTCTTTTAGTTTAATAACAAAACACCTCCAATATTATCTTTTAGTTTTACTTCTTTGCTTACCAATAGTATAATAATTTCCTTAAGATTGTTGTTCATCTTGTATTCCTAAGATACTTAGAACAAAAACTTTGAAGAACTTGATAAGAAACAACAAAGTTTAAAGAGCATTTTCAAAACTAGAAAATTAAGATAGTTTAAAGAGCATGGAAAAAATGTATGAGTAACATTTGGTGGAAGAGAAAAAAACGAAGAAAAATCCATATTTATAGCAAGTAAATGTAGTACTACTGTGTTGTGAACCGTGGATTCGTAAGGGCCTATCAGATAGAATTGGCGAAGGAGACTGATTCAATTGGGATTATTGGTGCCGAGTAAAATGTTAGAGAGTTTTATTTGGAATCCAGGCCCAATTAGCAGGTTTTAGAAAGAAGAGTCCTATGCCAATTATGTTGAAGCTTTGTTGCTCCAATTAGTATTGTTCACTATTACTTTGTTGCTCCAATTCTTAGTTGTAATTTGGATTCAGTAAGTGTAATATACATTAATATTGTGTTGAGAAATACGGGCCGTTACATACCTCCTAAGTGTTGTCCTCCAAGATATAATCCAGTAAGAGATGTTAAGTTGGCTAACTCTCTTGGTACAGTTCCACTGAACTCATTGATAGACAATGACAGGATTTGAAGCTTTCTGCATTTCTCCAAGGTTGGTGGAATAACGCCATCGAGGTAATTTCTTGAGAGGTAAAGCCCTTCCAAGTTTGGAAGATGGTCACATATAGTTGTTGGAAGCTCACCAGTAAGATTATTGTTGGTGAGACCAATGATTCGCATGGTTGTAATGTTATAAATTGATGGTGGTATAGAGCCTGTAAGATGGTTACTGTCCAGGTTTAAAACAGTCATGTAGTGAAGATCACCAAGTTCTCGAGGGATCTCTCCTTTGAGAAGATTTCCCTGTATTTTCAACACTTCCAGCTTTGTTAGATTGGAAAGGGAAGATGGGATATTTCCTGAAAATTGGTTGCTCGACAGGCGCAAAATGTGAAGGTCTACTAGCAAACTTAAAAATGATGGAATGGCACCAGTGAAGTTATTGCTTGTGACATCAATCAATTTCAACCTCTGCAAATGAGCCAACTCTTGGGGCAAATTCCCATGGAATCTGTTGTTACTAATGTTGAGGGAAACAAGAAATGAGAGGTTTCCAAGGTGTGGAGGAATGGTACCATGAAGTTGCATACTAGAAATGTCTAAAGCTGCGACTCGATGGTGTCGGGAGGTGCAAGTGATTCCAATCCAGGAGCAAACAGGGGTGGAAGAAG